CGTATTTGACCGCGAGGGAGGGGGGGGGTCGTATTTGGTTGAAGAAAATATTTCTTCGATAGTTAATCTCTCTTGTTTCACTGACGCTATAAAGGGGGGGGGGTCAATTTGGTCGTTTTGGGAGAGGGATTGCTGAAGATCTATAGGACTACTATTTCCGACAACTGAAAATAATAGTTAAATCCTGACCCTGCCACACGTCCTTTCCCAGGAGTAGCGAGTGTACACTCGAAATCCCTGAACTGTGGTGGGTGCATGGCTAGAGACTTCAATAGCAGGTGGGGATGGCTGTGCTTTTGGTACAATATTTTCATTTTAAGATAATTGTTGTCATGTCTTTGCCCAGCACAGAACAGTATGACAGCTGTATCAAGTATAACCTACGAGCAACCCGTTCTATGCAATGCTCAAATGCCACACCCACTCCTTCCCGGGGATAAGGAGTGTATACCGAGTGTCTAGTGCGCTGTGACCGAAAATAATGGATTTGGTTTAATCCCCACGAGTTCTCCACATTTCAGCTGTCGGATTCTTCAAATAATTAAATTCAAGGAGGCACTGGAGAAGCCCACCCGCGGCGTTCTCACCACTGGTTGTTTTTTCCTTGAATCGATCACTACCTGATCGCTATTGAAAGAAGTCGCAGCCGTGGTCAGGTCCACTCCCCTCCCCTTCTCCCACTCGCTCCGCCTCCCGCGCCCTTCCTGACACCGCCTCTACTAGTAGTAACTATAAGTTCGTAGGAGTGTTTATGGTCCCTCCAACGCATTGTAGACATCAGTCACTCATATGTACATGAAAGCACAATGATATTCTGATAATTAATGTCATTTAATGTTTACAGGACCATCTTTCCACTATAATGATACAACTTTCCAACATGATATAATGAATGCTGTATACGGGTACACCGCTATGGCTTGCGGAATATTCATCGCAGCAAATATACAGGTAATTGCTCCTCCGTTCATGGGAATCTGCATGAAAAGGTGAAAGGGCCACATTTTCGTTGTGATGGGGGTCGTATTAGATATTTTCTCATCGCCATGCTCCGGTACTATCCACCATTATCGTTAGCTAAACGCTCATAGCTACTAGCGCAAGATCGTCGTAGAAAATTTCTCCCACTATCTCTGCAAAGTGGCAAAAGTGTCGCTTACGTCCCTGAAAGCCGTTGATAAACGGGTTTCACGTGCTCTACATCATGAAAAACTACATTGGTTCAGGTGACGTGTTTTCTGATCGTGTGCGAGCAGATGAGCAACCGAATTCGACGGAAATTCGTACAGGCCATCCTGCGCCAGGACATTCCGTGGTTCGACACAAATAACAGTGGAACACTCGCTACAAAGCTGTTCGAGTGGGTTTCACATTCACATTCGCTAAACTTATCATTGGTGAAAAGCTGCGCAGGTACCTTTTAACCTTTTCGCAGGTTCAAACTCCTTACTGCCGCGCAAATTTTTGTCAGAAACTAATCGTAGACGAGCTACTCACGAGGCACCCCGAATCAGTCAACTGATGATGTTTTCAATCCTTAAAAGCTCTTTTTATGCAAGAAAGGAAGTCCAAGTTTCAAATCCTACATGAACTAGCCTGGAGTTCCATGGCTAGTTGCCCTAGCTTACTTTAGCGCTTTGGCGTCAAATTTGCCATTGTCATTAATTTATTTCATGCATTATCCACGATCTCGCTAAATAAGGAGCAAAATAAGGTGGAAGTGAGATCCACGACGACTGCTCAGTAAGGCAAGGTGAATGGGCCTTCCGCTAGCGAGCATCTGGTCAGGTGATCAGCATCAGAAAGACGAAGAAAACTAGTGCTAGAAACACGCAGTGCTGTGCTATGTACTATATACTGCTGCCGGTTTTGCCACCTACAAGTTTTACGGAATCACTGCATTCCTCACTTCTTCACTAAATAGCTCCTTTTCCAGTAGTTTTGAACGCGTCAAAGAGAGGACAGGAATAGAAATTGGGTGCTTATATCCAGTCACTAAGTGCAGTTTGTAACAGGTAATAAGTTTAACGTAAGTACAATTCCTTGTAACTTTTAATCTTTCTAGCGATATTTCTATTGAGGTTGGGTTTTTCGTAGGTTAGCTAAGGTTTTTGGTTGAACTTTCGTTCTATAGTATTGGTTTGGGTTTATCATTGGCTTTACAACAGCAGTTGGAGATTAACTCCTCGTTATGTTAGCTGTAACACCTCTGCAGGCCCTTTGTGGATTTGCGATTTCTAAGGTAAGCTTCTTAATTTAGGTGAAACCGAAGTAAGTGATTTCAACAGCTTCAGAGGAAGTTGGGTCTTAGCGCTGTACAAATCAGAAGAGCTATCAGGGTGGCAAGGTGAAGCAAAAAAGCGAAACTTTGTTTTAAAAACAGGAAACTAACAACGCGACAAAACCAGAAGGCGATTGCTAAATATCAGTCGATAGTGCAGAACATAGCAATCGTGTTACTATGCAGTTGGAAGCGAAGCCGTAAATTGTGGAGCAAAACTGGTCATTCTATACGTACGGTGTGCTCTCTGAATGGTCTTCGCTACGAAATTGCCAGGTAAATTAGCAAGATTACTAAATCAAGCGCTAATAACCCTGTAGCGCTTGGGAAAACCCGATGTACGGTAAGCTGGGGATCATCGGCTCGCTTCGTGAGATGACAGATTACAGTGCTTGAATTGGTTCGCACTTACACGCAACGCACACTCATGCCGCCCCCCCCCCCACTCCTCCTCAGCCGCTCCTCAGCCCGAGGAGAGCGTTCTGGTACATTTGTGTCGAATCACCAAATCTGTGATGCGCATTCATTTTACGGTAGGCAAGATGTGTCTATCCTCCATTTTCGCAATCCCATTTCTTAGTAAAAAACCATTTGCGGTGGAAAGTTGGAAGGTAAAGGAGGTAGGACGCAGAGTTGGCCCAGTGGCACCTCCCTTTTTCCAGTGTCTCCGCCCAAAGAGCCCACCTTCAAAGTTCGTCTTCCACCGAAAAGCGATGCTTCCGGATGACTAGTATGAAACCAGAGCTCCAATGCCTCTTGTGGGGTCATAGGGGTCACTATGGAGAATTAGCTGGCTGAAGTCCTCCCGATAGCCCGTCTTTTCGCCTTGTACTCGTGCAGCTTTTTGAGGCTAGAGGGGTCCTATAAGTTAGGGCTGATCTATGACTGCCCTTTTCAGGTACAAGGTGGCACTGCTCGAAGCACGTCGTGCAGGTATTCTGAAGAATTTGTTTGTTGGTATATCGTTTGGTATGATGGGATTGACGAATTTTTCCTCATTCGCTCTTGGCTTTCTACATCGGTATCACGTGGACAGTTGATGGCCGTCTGCAGTTGCAGGATCTAATGACGGTGAGCTTGTTCTATTAATATTTATTGTTATCGCTCACAACATTTGGCTAGAGCTCATCGATCCGAGAGCGTGCGAGGGGGTCTTATGGGTGTATATGTTAGCACGCTAACTCGGGGGAGGAGAACAAGGCTCGAGTACTCGGTGAGGCGCCAGATTTGTCCACAACTGAGCACTGTGTGAGCGTATGGAGCGGACCTTTAATCAATTTACATTCACCATTTAGAGGTGTATTTCATACGGCTTTTGAAAAGGAGTCTCCGTTCACCCCATATCGACGGGGAAAAAGGGCGTTCCCCAGTACATGAATGTAGGCTTTCACCTCTGCTATATGTTACGTCTCTACTTCTCTTTCACTTACACTCTCACACTCTCTACCCCTCCCCTCTCCCCCCCCCCTCATTACCGCGCAGGGGGTGCAAGAAATGAGAAGCCGAAGAACACTCATAACTTATGTGACTTTCTAGTGGGTAATGATGATGAAATTTAATTGCTTCAGACGTTCTTCTCGGTGATGATGGGCTCGTTGGCTCTCGGCCAAGCTGGGCCACAATTTGCTGTTCTCGGTGCTGCACAGGGAGCTGCTGCCAGCATCTTCGAAGTGTTGGATAGGGTCAGGTGCCCTACTTGTGCTCAGCGAGGTAATCCCAGAGCTAGAATAATCTCTCTCTTTCAGGAACCAGAAATCGATTCGTCCAGCAAGAAAGGTCGGCGAGACATGCAAATCAAAGGAAACATCCAAGTGAAGAACGTCGTGTTCAATTATCCATCTAGGCCAGATGTTCAGGTGAGTCAACTTCTGCACTAACAGCTTTCTTACCCGTCATGAATACATCTGGTTTCTTCCCCACTCTGGAACTAGATTCGAAGCAAAGTCCGCGCTGATAGTGAGCCGGAGTCAGCACTTCGCTCAACCTTTCGACCCGTACATCGTTCCAACATTGCGCAGAACTTTAGTATTGCACTTTATGGCACCGATCGCTGTATTCCCTTTCACCCGTACCACCCCTCCCTAATCTCCTCCTCCTTGGCTTTTCTCCTTGTTCTCGCATAAGGGGAGGGCCGCTTACTGAGAAAAGTACAATAGCAT